ATAGTAATAGCAATAAAATACTATAGTACTTCGAAATAATAAAAATTCACAAATTTTTATGTCCTGAAGTAATTTAATTGAAAAATCGTTTCTTCCGCTTATTTTTCAATGCCATTCACGATTAGCAAATAGAATATTTTTCTAGATTTTTCTGAATCTGTGTTTTCAAAATAGCGGTTGCGATACTCGAAATTAACCGGTTTCATAGCCACGCACGATGGCTTTTCAGGAGGACTTCGCGGCTCGTCGTAGCATCTCTCCCTTGACATAATTATACTGATAATGAGTCGAGTCAAGTTCTAGAGAGGCTTGAGAGACCGCGATTTACTCGAAATCCTTCGACGGCTCAGAATTCACGGACAGAATTCAACGGAATCCCGCTTAAGCAGTTCTCAAACATTCCACGACATGGAAAATTGTTCTATCAAATATTTGAAACCCAATCAATTTAATCATCCATTATACCACAATGAAACTTGTTACTCTCGTAATACACGTAGTACAACAATTATATCGTTTAAATACGAAAGACGAATTCCTGTTTTCTCTACAGAATTTTGTCTGTGAATAATCGTACGTACCTTCGTGTCTAAGAAAAGTTGAAAATATTCAAACCAGCCATATGAATCATCGATAAAGGTTGTACAACAGTTTCGGAAATTCATTGCGCAATAATGGTAGCTGGTTCGGCAATAGTAGCAAAAATCGAGGTGGCCGTATGCCACGTTCATAAAGACGAAATAGAAAAACCGGGGAACATGCTCGCAAATAAAGGGATATACCTCGAGCCCGATAAAACGGTATGTAAATCAGTGAATCAGACGGAGGAGGAGAACGAGGACGGGAAGAAAGAAGGAAATATACGAGTTCCATCGAAGGACCCTGACCATACCGGCATGTGCGTTCCGCTCACATAACCGGTGCACACACGGGCCAATATACATATGTATATTGCCGAAGTTTACTTGCTGCAGTGCAGTAGTAACGTCGCCCCCTTCAACCCCTTCAACCGGTTAGTACCCGGTGGATCTCTTCTCGTCCCTCCGCCGCGCGATTCACTTTCTGCCTTGCTGCATGCACGTTTCACCCCGTTACCCTCTCGCCCCTCCATCGCTAGCCGCGTTCTTCTCTCGTTTCATCCTGTCCATGTTCCCGAAATCATGTCCGTCTCTCTCGCCTGGCGTTCACCGGCCTCGTTCATCCCGGGACCTCACCCGCGCGCTCGTTCGTCCTCCTTCTTCACCCCCCTCCGCAGCAACGTCCGAAAATGGGCACTCCACCTGGTCGAAATGGTTTTCAAAAAGTTTTGCTCACATGTGGCTACCTATCCGGCTAGTAGCTAGACAGCCAGCCCCTCTTCTTCCGCCCCGGTGAACACCCACGCGTGATCGGCACCACCGCGGCCGGCCGGTCCGGGCGTGGTCGTGTACGTGGGAATACACACGCACACACTCGGCCGCACCTGACAGGTATTACGATGATAGATACGCGCGTACCACTTTTTTCCTCTCGCTCCGCCGCGCCGCGCCTCTGCGTCCCTCTCTCGGCCGCGGATCTCTTCCGGTCCTTTTGCCACTAGCTGGCAGCCAGCCAGAATCCACGGTGCTACCACGCGCGGAACCAGGACACCGGGAGTTCGACGTTGTAACATCTCCGTGGGCAGCGCCATTTCAAAATGAATTTTTCTTCCCTCTGTTCGCGTCTCTTTCTGTGTTTCCCTTTGCCGGGGCGCATGTATGCGCGCCCACCGGTTCGGGCGCGTGTTTTTTTTTTCTTCCTTTTTTCCTGTAACCGCGCGGCTTACCTGGTCAAACGAGGGCACGATAGCGAACATCGAGCCAGAAGACCGCGCGGTTTGCTCAAAAGGATTCGTTTTGATGAGAGACCATTTTTTCCTCTTTCTGTCCCATCCTTCTCTGCGATCGTTCTCCCCCCTCTGGTTTTTGGTCTTTTGTTCGTTCGTGTTTTTTCTATTTTTCACCTTTTGCTCGCTTTTTCCCAGCTCGTTTTTTTTTTGTACGATTGCCCATGAAACCTTTTTTCCCCGGCGTTCCATTATATGCCTCGCGCCGCTGGCGAGGAGTGTTACGCTTAGCAATTTTTTTGATATGTACATAAACGAATTAACAAATTGATTAATCGAGGCAAAAGAAATGAAGTTTCCACGTTTATTCATCTCCCGAACTTTTTGATTGGTTCCTAAGTTCATTTATGCATTATTCTAAAAAATAGTACGCTTGGAGTTTAGAGCTTCGAGATCCAACGTCGTCAATAGTTCTCTCCTAATGCAAATCTGCCCACAGTGAAATAAAATCAGCTCGCGTATTCTATTCGGAAAAAGAGGAAGTTCGCAATAAAGCGATCGTTTTGAGAGGTGCATTACGGGCCGTAAAATTGTTTTCGTCGACGCGACGCCGCGGGTGGAGTCGGGGGTGGCTCGAGCTTTACGTTCCAGTCGTGTGTAAAAGATGCGTTCAAACGGTTCCGGGTAGAGCGGCAGGTTCACTCGGAGGGTCCGTGCATAATCGTAAAGAAACATTGTTGGGTAGCTCGGAACGCGCCGGAACGCGAGGAGGGCCGCCTATTCGCCCTCGTCCGGTTCCGCTTCTCGTGCGGCCAGGAAGCAGCTTTAAAGCGTTTTAAATTAGTGCGACCAGGGGCTAGGAAGAAAAAGTTTAAATGGTCTGCTTTCGGGCGGCGAATTATTTAAATCGTCGAACGTGTTGGCTAATTTGGTTGAATTAAACGCGGTGACGTTGCGTGAAACATGATTTACGCGGTTTAATTGGATTGTGGCATTTGACCATTGCATTGTTATCACTGTTTACACATTTCCTATTCATATTGCAATTATTAACCAATGTAATGAAATCGATAAAAGTAGAGGACCGATGGCCGCTACGAAAGTATCGATAAAACGGGAGACAAATTTATTCCCCTCATTCTTCTCCGCTGTCCGGTTGGCACAAAGGTTGGCCAAACCTCCGCGTACATTTTCCCGGGATCGACGAGAGGACAATCGATTTTTCTCGTCGCAGTTGGACGCGTTCCCGTGACATCACGGGAACCTTCAAATTTTCACTGGGAGCGGGCGCATCCTGAACCGGGTGAAAAGGGAGAGAATGCCCGGCGACAACAGAGTCGGCCCAACCGCAACTCTCTATAACAGAAGCGTCCTTTTGTGGGTGTTCCATAGAGAGCTCGTACGTTATCGCAAGTACGGAATCGTGAGGACTTAAAGTATAACGCCGTCGGGACCTTTCTTTCGGCGGAAACTGAGTGCCGCCTCATCATCCTTCTTTTCTTTATCCTTGGACGCGCGCCCTGCCCCTTTTACTCTTTCTCTCTCTCTCTCTCTCTCAGTGTCTGCCTCTACCCTTCCATTCTGTCGCGGCCACGGCGTGTTCCACGAATTCACAGAAGAATTTCTGTGTCCCGATATAAGAGACAAGAAAACGCCGCCGCCAGAAGCGAGGAAGCGTGCAGCCGTGGCAAACGAGGAATTCTTTGTGAATTTTTCAGACTGCAAATGAATTACTCGCGATGGTAACGGCCCGTACACGGGAGACGACGGAGGGAGGAGGGGGCTTTCATGAGGAGTTGAAACTGCGAATTGGGCCACAAACTGTAATAATTTGATGAGCCCGTGTGCGTTATCTTTATTTATTTACGCCGCGGCAGGACGGGCCTGCGAATTGATTTAATTTCATCCAGCGCCGCGGGACTCCACGACGATTAAAAATTCCTAACTCTCGTTTTGTACCACGTATTCCAGTGTAACTCTCACAAATTCGTTTCAATTATTTAGCATGCTGTCCGTACAGCCGGACTAATTAAGAAATTAGTAGTAATTTTTCATGTATAACATTCGCCAAAGTTTTGTCACAGAATCAAATGGACACTTGGAAGAATTTTTTTCATCAGTAGTTTTAATAAATTGCTGTTGGTAGCGGAGATACTAGTCGTACAAGATTCAGTAGTAGACAGCATTAAACCTTGTCTCGATGAGATATTTAACAAGCCATAAACACGTTGGCAGTTCTAATGTTCGCGTATCGGATATTTTATCGCGATTAGCAAGATGATAGGAAGTCGTGTGGCTCTCACATTCCGCGAGGAAATGTTCCCACCGATACACTCGGGTATCCTTTTGAAACATTTAAACGTGTCGCATCGCTGCGCGACATCATCGGGGAGGAGCTTTCATACGTCTACCGCTCTTCCGGTAAAGTGTGTACGATGGAGTTTCTTCAGGATCCGGTTTCAGAGTCAAGGACTTAAAAGCCGTTCGTTCGATGAAGTTCGGACACGCTGAAAGTTGGACACTTTTAAGCGTCGTTTGTTGAAGCCGACCGCGTCCAGCTTTTCTCATGCAAGAGAGAACCGGATCGGCCGGGAAGGGAGGGGCCATTAACGTTAAAACGTTTACTTTCGACAGTTGAGAAAGCAATCAAAAAGTAGTTGTTACTCCGAGACAGAAATGGAGTGAAACTGGACGATAAGTTTTCGATGTTTCGTCCATCATTCCGACTTGAAATATTATTAGGTATAATAGAATTCATTTCAAGAAATTTTGTTTAAATAGAAGATTATAGTAGACTTATTCGATAGTCAAATAAATGCTTTGCCTGCTCTGTAATTGCGTTCTAAAGAAAATAGCTCTCTTAAACATCAATTTATTATACATAACGATTTAAAAAATAATAAAGCCATGAATACAGGATGTTCTAAGGATTTACGAGGAATTCGTTGTTCACAACTATTCAGCGATTTCAACTCGATAAGCAAATAATCAAGTCCAAACGACGAGTTGATCAGCGACTGGTTCATGTAGCTAAAAAAAACTCGAGTTCCTAACAATGGGAAAACCAGAATAATTACTAGAACGTGATACTAACGAGAACAGGCGGGCGATTCTCTTCTGTTTGGTAATGCGGCCGCGTGAGATAGCTGATATTCGTGGGGAGCGAAAGATGATATCAATTATAAGGGCAATTTACCTGATAGTCCATGTAGTTCCCGTAGCCCATGTGGTTGCAGGTGCAGGCGCACGCCTGGATGTGCCTCCGCATATCTAGCTCGACCTCCTCGCCGCAGACACCTCTGCTCGCGGCCATCATGGTATCCCCCATGCAGTAACCGCTCGTGCAATACATTCTCGGGTCACTCTGATCCAGGTACCCGCCGCCGGTGTCGTCGTACCCGAGTCCGCTCGCGCACCTGGAATCCGAGGTATATCCCACGCGAGATTGGGGACGCTCCTCGTATCCCAGCCTGGACTGGGGCCGATGGAAGCTCGGAGGTACATCCTGCGACATGAACAAGGTTTTGCGATAAGCTCCTACCGTTCACCAGGTGCGTTATTGGAGAGGGTAACGGTGGATAGGAGTTCGCAATAAGTTACAAATAAATATACAGCTCCGGGACATTTGATTTACTACAGCCGTTTAATACCGTGCTACTAGCCACGATTATCAAGTATATTTATAATGGGATTAAGCATATGATAAAGCACACGATGCAAGGATAAATATTTCATAAATTATAACTCCATAACCCTAATCTTAAGCTATTTGGTTTTGTCATTTTCATATTTCAAAATGTTTACACTGCACGCTTTTGTTAACTTCATATTTTACGTCGTTATTCTGCTTCCATAGCGTTCTCTGTTCCTTATCAGTATTCTAAGTGGTCTACTAATTTGGTGCATTGCCTTTCCACTTTCCAATTATTGCATAGTTTGCACATCCGACTCCTATTAAAATCAACCTCCTGCTCCGAAGCCTGGTACTCTGCCGGCGATGTTCCTCCTCCAGGAAATGTCTTACGGTTGATAACACTATGCATATTCCGTTGACCCACATCGTTCGAATTCTAATCAGTCCTCATTCCGTATGAGTAATCTGCTACCCTATAATTCTTCGCGTTGGAAAGCAGCCTCCCGAGTAGTAGTCGTGCCGGATATCGATTTCAATTTGGAAATGGTCTCGATTCGTGAAACACGACGAAACACCGTTCTCCGCGGCAAACTTTCCCCGCGGCTTTGTTCTTCGGAAGTCTACCGTGGATGCCGATGAACATGTTCTTAACGAGAGCCACAATCTTATCTAACAAGAAACGCTATTCATCCCTTAGTTCCTTTCATACCGAAAGTCTTTCGTTTTCAAATCTTCAATTCTCTGCCTCCAATTTGGATGAACCATCAAATATTCTATCCCTTTCCATCCGCACGTCTCTTTGATCTCTCTTCTTCTATAATAATTTGTGTTATTTTGGAGCGAGTATTTAAAATTAAGAAAAAGACGTTCTCTCGCACGGTCGCTTAAAGCGTGAACGATTCTTGATGAGCGGAGCACGAGTGAACCGTTAAAACCTTCAGTGAAATTTGAAAGAGTTCCGCCGCGCTTTCAGAATTAAAATTCGTTATGCAATTCAGTCGGAATCATATATTTTTATCTTTGACATCGCGGACGTTAAAAGGAATAAAGACTTCATAGCCGTTTGCTTCTATATCGACAAAGTATAAAGTTTATACCTCCGGAAAATCGGATGATGAATAAATTAGCCACTAATTAAGGAAAAGTTAGGAGAATGAAATTTGTTTAATTGATTAATAAGAGAACTGATTTAATACCTTAACTTACAATAAGTTTACGTGATTCGGCTTTTTTGTAGTATTTGGAATGATTTCGTCGCGATAGAACAGACGCGGGATGTAAATTAGTTAGCCGAGACGGACTTATGTGCAACTGTTTCAACAATTCCTTTGGTTGGATTTTACATAGCTTCGCACTCGAATCGCAAATTTAACTTTCCACTTTCGCCGACTTCGCGTAACCAAATACGAAAGTGACAATTTGCATCGCAACATAAATCAGTTTTTCTCTTCTTCTTAAGCTTATGAAATTTTTATTATCAATTATTTTTAATAAAAAAAGTAGATTCAGTCTATATTTTTATGATGCTTCGTCGAACTTATAATATTAGACTGTCAAGAAAAGAAAAATTCAGTTTGTTGATAAAAAACCGACTTTGGATAAGAAATTACCAGAGAAATAATTTTCGTCTCGTGCATTCGTTTCCCCGAAACACGATTAGAGCGCATCGATTTGTCATTTGCCGCGACGAAGGCAGCGCGTTTCCTGTTTGGAAAGTAGCTTTTAAGAGTCCCAGCAGAGACAACGACGACGAAGAAAAAAGGGAAATCGGTTCGATCAGCCAGTGTCCCTGCGCTCCACACCGCTTCAACGCCGACTAACAATGAAACACTTCAGAGAAACATTATCGATCCGCGAACTCTTTAGACATCATTCCTTCCCGTGTTGAATCCCGTTAGAATTAGAACCATCGAGATTCATCGCAATTGTTGTTCAGTCACACGTCTGCGCGCAACCACTACAAATTGCAAGCAGCAGTGATTACATTTTTGTATTCAGTACATTCGAAGATTAAGGTTTACGTATATACGTCTGAATCTCCTATCGTAACGCGCAGAACGTTTCCTCGTATTCAAGTTTCGCACAACTGCATAAACATCCGCATAGCAATCATTGACATGTAATATCGAGCTACGGGGAGAAAGACGATGCGTACGTGGCTGTTCTCGTTTGCATTACATATGGAAATTGCATCTGGCGCGATGACGGATGAGATTCGAAGGGACGGGAACGGAAACGGGGACGGGGCAGGAGGCGGGCTTATCGCCAAGGAATAAATGTTGATTTATTTTTGACGGTATCGTTTCGCGAGGCCCGGCCGCGATACTTTTTCTGCCGTAAGCATTGCCTGAATTCCGAAAATATGGCGAGGGAAGCTCGAGTAACGCCGGCGAACTGGGCCAAATCGATATCCGGCCGAATATATGTACACGGGGAGAAGTTCAAACTTGAAGCATGCACGCTGGCCTCCGTCGAATCAATTTTCGATTCTCGAAAAGCCATAATGGCCGCAAGGGGCTTCCAGGCCGGGGCTGCTGCCCTTGCTCGGAGGAGGAGGCTTATCCGAACCGTGAGCGCGGCGCACCTTGCTCAAAAGCCCTGCTTTCCGGTTGATGAACACGTTGCTCGGCGATGCATCGAATCGCTGCCGAGAGATGTATGGACGCTGTTATTACAGTTCGCGATGATGATGATGATGATGATGATGATGATGATCGCCGTTAATAGCACGTTTCGAACTACTGCTGACCGTTTGCCAGACACTTTCTGCTGTGTAGGTGGAAGTCATGTTGGTAGACGACTGGTGTTGATTAGGCGATGGAAGAAAATGTATACGCACGTTTACCTTCGCTGAATATTAATTACATTTTAAATCATCGGAATGAGGAAATATGAAATGGAATTTGAGAATTTCAACACAAGGGTAGATAATATTTCTTCATGTATCTTTGAAATAAATTCGTGGTATTTAAAATATTATAATTAAATATTCAGCATTACAAACATTTTTTATGTTCAAACCGTCAAAAGAACGGAAATGTTACTCCCGAGAGAAAAAAGAAATCACTAACGCGTGTAATTCGGAACAACCAGAACGACTTGGAAGCAACTCAGTAACGGATGATGTCTCCAATTCTCGGAGAAAGACGAATTGAAATATGTCAGTACGGTTCGCAACAATAGTTATTGTCGGGGACAAATCTTTTTCACCGTTGAGCAGTGCGATATTCCGATAGACCGCTGCTAGTTGACAACCGAGCCATGAAATGGAAGGTTATAGAAAATGACAATTTTTTTCACTCTTCCTTTTCGAAATTTTTTTATTTCAAATCGACGTTCGAATTGCGTTACGTCTGTTCGCGGCGAGTATTATTGACAGTGACAAATATGCTAGTATTGGATGTAACGGGTAGCACTTCGGCTAACTGGGTCGTGAAACGAACAGAACAAATTGGAATTCCTTTGGTTAGGGTTTTTCAAGTCTGAAGAAGAACAATGATCGATGTCTATTTTCAATAAAGCAGGACATAACTGCATTCGTTTCGCATTGGTAATAATAACGAGCATTTTATTTCGCCTTGTTGCCAGTAAGAAAATCTGCGATAAGCGAGCAATTAACAATTTTATATAAATACAAGTCTTTAAGAGATAATAATAGATACAAACAAGGAACGTAGAATGACTAATTTCTTTGTCGTTCGCTCCATTTGTTTGATAACTTCTTTCAGGTAATCGTGTTTTAAAAGTATTCCTGCCTCCACTTTCGAAGTTTCAATTCTTACAAACTCCCGACTTTCTCATTTGGTAATCAAAGGCTAATTGTTAAGCTCATCTTCCCCTTCATTAAAGGTTCTTGTACATTCCTGGAAAGCGAAACACACAAATTAAAGTAATTTGCTTATCCGGTAATGGAAAAGAAACGTTAGTACTAAAAATTGAGAAATAAAACCGTCCGCATTTATTTTCTCTGAAGAATGGAGAGAGGGGCATGATCTAAAGTTTGTTCTTGGAAATCATAACTTCGGAACGAAACCTTTTTGTTCATTAAGAGCCTGTCACTTGGCTAAAATGTAAGCTGGGGTCGCGTGGGCGGGGTGTTCAGTAGAAAATGTATAACAGTGGGAATAGTTTAAGGTAACGACGCGTTTCCATGAAACGGCAGCAACGTTAATATTCCCAGCTCAAAGAAATATGTGCATATCGTTAATTTTAGGTGCAACGAAGTATACGAGTAGTAATGCTCGCTGAAGCGGGGATCAAAGAAACACGGCCACGCGCATGCCTGGCCAGGAATTTCAAAAAGGAACGAGGTTTCATTGAAAGAGAGATGGCATGCCGTGTGCCTAAAGCGTGGCGTGGATTCAGCAGAGAAAAAAGAAAGAATAAAAAAAAGAAACAAAATGCATCGCATGCTGATGCGATCCATTCCCATTATTTTTGAGGCCAATCTACGCCGAGCGTTGAAATCGAATTTCCTGTGAATTGGTCCAATAATCATGAGAATTAACAATATGGTTTCGATAAAATTAATGTAGATTATCAAAATTATAAAGAGCTTTTAATCAAGTATGAATATTTTTTATTTCGTACGCATCGTTATCCACTGATACCGTATGAGATTAAATTATACAAATACCATTTGTTAAATTGGACATTTTCCCTGCATCGTGTATTAATTTTTCCAAATGTAATAGAGAATTGTCTACAGTCGTAGAACCGGTGGGACAATAATCGCGAAACAAATTGGCTCTGGGCGCGTTAATTAATGTCCACTAATTAAATTATAAGCGTTTCGGGGACACTAATCGGCCGTGGAAGGGCCGATGTGTGTATGTCTTTTGTGCGGCAACTTCGCGTAACGCAGGGGGTCTTAGAATTAGTTAAGCCCGAAATGGCTCATATTGCTGGCGTCAGACTATCGAACAAAGTTACCTGCTGAATCATCAGCGGCTTAAAGTTTCCCTTCTCAGCACTAATTAACCCCGCGTGCTCCTTTCGCCACGGGTGCCACCTTGCGCCGGTGTGAAATTTAATTTTCAACGGGTGTACAATAATCATAAATATTAGGATCGACTGCAGCGTACGTATTCCTCGGCTCGTTCCGTGCTATCGGATCAATTAAGGATGTATTGGCTATACATATCTTTTTAAAAAATGCGTTTCTAAAGTGCATAAACTTTTGGGATTGACTGTACAGCCAATACATCCTTAAAGAGCAATTGTCGATGGACGAAATAATTAATCGATTACTCCTGAAGTATTTGAAGTAGAAAAAAATTGTACATGACCTTCCTTGCAGTAATAGCAGTACCTACAATTTTTATTTGAACCATTTTTCGCTAGCTTCAATAATTAACTAAAAAGTGAAACTGTTTATTGCAAAACCTTTTTTTCGTCTGTAAATGTATCGAACAAAAGTTGTATCTCCAGCTATCATCATTATCTACACCTTATCAAGCCAGACTCATCGGTGCATCGTCATAGTCATTTACCGACTTCCTCGGTACCAATTATCACCGAAAGAAGCGATATTCGACTGTGTTTTTAGCCCCATTGGATCGTATTCGCTGTCCCAACGATTACACGGGCACTTTCACTCTTTAGTAATATCTCTTCGGTGGTGCAACTAAACAGAATCGATGGATATCGATGGTCCTCTGTAATTGGGCATTCCATATTTTTTATCGTGATCCCGAAATAATTAATGATATCAGATTAGTTTGCCTGGTTGCAAGCTGTATTAATGTTTTCATTATGGCCAATTTTGTAATATTCATTAGTACAAAATGGATGTCATTTGTTACTTAAAATTACTTTCTTGGAGGAGAAATTAGATCCTATTTGTTCGTTCATTCTTTCGTTGATTATAGCCTGTATCGCTTCATGTACAATACATATTGCATACGTTATAACTAGCTATGCTACTCCAAACAATATTTGATGCTAATGAGGGTGTTTGTTGCATATGTAGCTTAATTATCTTTAAACATGCAAATTGGTGCAACAATTATCCCTACGATCTGATTCCGTTAGAAATTATATGTTAACTGATGCCAATTGACTGAAATTTTAAATACAATGTGTGAATTCCTAATTGACTGATAGAACTTTCTAAGTATTATTTATATTACGCGATTGAAGTATCGAAACGAATATTTTTGAGGTATCGTAATGCCAATGCAATAGCAAGAAATAAATTCTAATGGCAGTAGACGCTTTCAGTGAGACTCTTAACGAGACGAGTGCATGCCTCGCGAAATTATTGCACAACTGGACGACTGGATATGAATCTTCTCGAATTTATGGTTCGCTCTTGTAATAAAATAATCAATTCGAAATCGAACGCTAACGACGTGAGACAAGATGACACAAGACGAGACGAGACATGCATGTACTCCTTGCAATGTTTTTTATTGTAAGAGCTAAAGATATTAAATGATGTATGTCTTATTTTTTCAATGCTTGATTAAATACTTATACGATTTTTACAATTGCTCGAAAATCAATTGGAGAACTATATTTTATAGTCCCAAGTTTTATAACGTGTATTTCACCTTCAGTTGCTTTTATCTTACCTCGACGATAGGCTTATTACTAATACATGGAGCAAAAGATAAGAAAGTTGAGCCACGTACCTGGGTATAGGTGTCATCTTGATAGGGAGTCCTGCGATGACACTCGTCGTAGCACCTGCCGTCGTATCCGCTCGGCGGTCTTGGGTACGGATCCTGGACCGCGGCCGCGGCCGCGCAGCAGTCCGGTATTTGCGCTTGGTAGGTCTCGTAGGGACACTTGTCAGGTTGGCCGACGGCGGTTCGCGGGGCCTGGTGCACCCGCTCCTGGGGCCCGGTCCCGTAACCGGTACCGCCGGAGTGATGCATCGTGTCCACCCGTCGATCACCACTGCTCTCGGTCACCAAGATCACTGCATCGTCGCGTACGCGTGCACGATCGGCGCTAAGCGATACCACGTCTTTCTCGCGAGCCGCTCTCCGCGCTTCGGGTCCATCGTCACTTTCCTCCTCGCCTCCGCGTGCACCCGCCGCGCCGAATCCCTACTAGCCCGGGCCTAGGGCGGACCTAAATTCGTAAACAGGGTGAGACAGGGCAAAACTGTCTCACCCTGATCAAACGACCTATGCTATTTTAATCATTTTCTTAATGAGACCTAACATGAATCCGAAACGATGAACAGTCTGATAATTTAGAACGGGGCAAGAAGAAAATATCTCGCTTGTTGCCTGACTAAAAGATTTTTAATTATTCCATTCGCTCGAGCACGCTACAAGGAAGATCAGAAAAGCGGAATCGATGAAGCGTGTTCAGGTTCGGTTATACAGTTTATATGGTGTACACTTATACACGAAGGTATCGGTTTCCAAGGAGGTTGCCGCGCCTGATCGTTCGATTCCAATTTACCGCGGGTTATTTTTCGTACGAGGCCATTATTTTCTTCCACGTTTCTCACACAGAATGTTATAGAGAATCTGCTCTCTTTCTCCCTTCGCTTTTCTCTCACTCTCTCTCTTTCTATCCATCTCCTAGTGTCTCTCTCAAGTCGCTGGGAAAGTCTCGGTGAAGTGATATCGATAGATAAAAGGTTGATTCGTCGAATCGAACGATTGAACAATTTCCTGGTAGCAAGATATCCCGCGCAAGTACTTCAGACAGATATCCGACAGTTATCCGGGATGCTCGGTAAAAAAGGAGCGCACCATTCGAGGCGATGTTTCCTCAACTTTCGAAACGGGCTTGGAACGCTCGAGCAATTATTCTGTGGTCCGCATCGTTCCGGAGGAGATTTAAATTTTCGATCTATCTTTAATTACCATACCATGAACACGCGTACCTCGTTATCCAACGAATTTGGCACGAATATCTGACAACGAAAGGTACTTAGTCGGGGAGATATTGCCACAACCAAGAAGTACACGGTAGCAAGGATACGTTAAATAAAATTGAACTTTTCGAATACTGATCCGTGCAATTTCCATTTCCATTTTGTAACTTACAAGGAAACGATGTCGTTTTGACGATAGCTTTTTTTAAGGATGTATTGGCTATACAGTCATTCCCCAAAGTTTATGTACCTTATAAAAACGCATTTCCTATAATTAAAAAGAAATCAGACGTCGGAAGAAGAATGCTAATAATAAAT